AATAAAAAAAAAAAAAGAACAGTTTTTAATATATTTTTTTTTTTGGAAATAAAACATTAAAATAAACGTGATCTATTTCTTAGAACCCTTTCTTTATTGGTTTTATATCCTAATGAATATTCTATAAATAATTAAGTCGCACCTATCCATAACTATGGGTGCTTTTTTTTTTTTTTTTTTTTTTTTTTATGTTTTTATTTTTATTTAATAATATTAAAATTATAAACTGTTTGTTTTATATAGAAATTGGATTTTCAGTATTATTTTTATTCGTTACCCCAGTAGCACCAGAGTTAGTTGGTGTGGTTGAAAGAATTGTCGTATTAATAGTTTGATTTGAAGCTAAAGATGAACTTGGTTGAGCATTTTGTTGTGGTGGTGATTGTGGAGCTGTTTGTTGTTGGGTTTGTTGTTGTTGGGATTGTTGATTTTGTGGATTTGTTAAATTTTCTGAAAACTCAATGTCGTCAACCCATTTTCCAATTCTATCCGGAGTCCAATATTTTGGTGTCCAAACGTAATTCTCTTCTAAAAGCTCTGATTCAGTATACCAAACACCATTTTTTAATATTGCAACAGAACCTGGGAATGGATTATTAATATCATTGCCAGCTAAAGTAATGATATTATTACTATTATTATTTAAAATGCTATTTTGTGGATTATTTCCATTATTTAAATTACTATTATTATTATTATTTGAAATATTCATATTGTTAAGTGTGCTATTATTTAAACTGTTATTTATATTACTATTTGATAAATTATTATTAAAAGAGTCCGATTTTTTAGCTTGGTTATTATTATCTACAATTTTCGAATCTTGAAGATTTTGTGTTGATTGTTGGGTTGTTTGGGTTTGAGTTTGTGATTGTGATAGAGTTTGTGATTGTGTTTGTGTTTGTGTTTGGCTATTTGTACATGTTTGATTTGGTGACAATGGTTGTTGTGGTTTAGATCCGTTAATAGAAACAGAAGTACGACGTTGTTGTGGTTGTTGTGATTGTTGGGATTGTTGAGCTGCTGCAGTTTGTTCAACACTACTTGTATTTAAAATTGGCGAACTATTTGGTTTAAATGATGGTGAAGTCATACTCATATTATTATTATTATTTGTTGCAGATTGAGAGAGTGATTTACTATGCCCAATATTGCCATTATTACTATTATTATTATTATTATTGTTATTATTAGAAGAAGTTAAATTATTATTTGGTTGATTTACAGAGTTTTTCCTTTCAGAAACATTATTGCTACTATTTAGATTTGTTATATTATTGCTATTATTTATATTATTATTACCATTACTCTGTTCACCCACGCCTGTTCTATTATTATTATTTGCACTGCTAGTATTTAATTTATTATTACCATTACTTGTATTTAAACTGCTTATATTATTATTACTATTATTTATATTATTTTCATTACCATAATTTCCACCTTTACTAGTAGATTTACCCTTTAGAGCTTCTTTACCATTATTTGTAGGAACAGAGTTATTATTACTATTATCTCTTTTGAATGAAGATAAACCACATCCCATTTTAAAAAATTTAATTATTCTACCTATTTTTTATTTATTTATTTTATTATTTTTTTATTTTATTATTTTGGTTACTATTTTTAAAAATTTCCTTTATTTTAACTATCATACACACCAAATATATTTAAATATAGGTGCTTCTATTTATTATTATTACTATTTTAGTTTAAAAAAAAGTTGTGAAATTTATTATAGCAGTTTCTTTTGTATTAAAATTGATATTGATTCTTTATTTAATCGATGAAAAAATTATTTAATAATACTATTACTATTATTTATTTTTATAGAACACCACTACTATATGTATGAGCGAATTTATGTATGTTATGATATAAATCTAAAACTATTAAATAAAAATAATAATTATTAGAAATTGTTTTTTTTTTTTTAAAAAAAAAAAAAGAGAAACTATATTATTATTTATTATTAGTTATTAATTTAGAGGGTAGCGTACTAATTTTTATTTTTTAATTTTTATTTTTTTAATTTTTTTTTTGAAAATAAACACACGTACACAAAATTATTTTATTTAATTTTTTTAAATATTACTGTTATTTATAAAATGAAAAAAAGAAAAGTTGTCTCTGTAGTTGGTGGTGTGCACTATTAAAAAAATTAAGTTATATAATTTATATATTTTTTCTGAAAATAAATTAATACCCCTTTTCAAAAAAATTATAATATATTATTTTTTGTTGATTTTTTTTTTTTATTATTATTACAATAACTACTATTCATTATATTTATTATTATTATTATTATTATTTTATTATTACTATTATTATTATTAATACTAATACCGATTATTTACCTTTATAACAAAATTAATAATTAATTCGATTTGTGATAGTTATTAAAACAGAATTTTTATTAAAATATATGATTATTTTAATAAAGTAAAAAGAGAAACTGAAAACACAAAATAGTTTCTATATCTATATCTATAAAATGTTTATAAAATATATATATATTTATAAAATTTATGTTGAAAATAAAAAAATTGAGTTATTATATACACAAGTTTTATTTAAACAAAGTTTGATTTTTCTAATTTTTTTTTTTTAATAAAAAAAAAAAAAAAAATTAAATATTCTATTTATAATGTTGTATAATAAATAATAATTATAATTTTTTAACCTTTTTTTTTTTATTATTTTATAAAAAATTGAAAAAAAAAAAAAAATTTTAAAAAAAAAAAATTTAAAAAAAATTAAAAATTTTTTTTTTTTTTTTTTTTATTTTATTTTTTATTTTATTTTATTTTTTTATTTTTTTTTTGGGTTGGTTATATTATATGTGATAATTTTAATATACTACTTAAAAGTTTATAAATTGAAAAAAAAAATACATATATAATTATTTAATATAAGTTATTTTTGCTGTTTTTTTTTATGATATCTCTTTTTTTTTTTTTTTTTCTCTAAAAATAAAATAAAAAAAAAAAAGGTGGTTTTTTTTATTTTTTATTTTTATTTTTATTTCAAATAATTTTGATCGAACAAAGATTCTATGTTGTTTGTTTGTGTGGAGGGGGGTGTGAACACAATATTTGTTGGTTATTACACACACATACCCCCACACCACACACAATTTTTATTGGGTTGGGAGGGTGTGATATAAATAAATATATGAAATACATCAAATAATAATATTAAAAAAAAAAAAAAAAATATAAATCGAATTTTATATAATATCACACCACAATAAAAATAAATGATAAAATAAATAAAAAATTTTAAGTAACAATTGGACAAATTTAAATAATATATAAATTAAATAGTAATCAATAACAAATAAAATTTAATTTAATGTATAAATATATTGAATACACAAAATAACCAAATCCAAATATTTTATAGAAAATAAGTATTTTTACCCATTTACAATTTTTTTTTTTTTTTGATTTAAATAAAACCTTGCTCAATGAGATATATTTTTGCAGGGCAAGTTTTGTCTTTTGATCATTTCTCATTTTCCCATTTGTTTTTTACTTTTGGTTTATATTATCATAAATATTATAAAAATAACCTTTAAAAAGGTACTGTGCTTTTTATTACTTTCTTCTTAAAATGTAAATTCTTGAAAAAAAAAAAATTTTATTTTTTTATTTTTAAATTTAAATTATTTTTTGAATTTTTAAATAAAAAATAATTAATTTTTTTTTTTTTCATTGTTCGTTATACACAGAAATAAAATGAAAAGAAGTAAAGGTGGTTTTGTAACACCATATAAAGATGGTGCAGCACCCCCAATAAACAACGATGAAAAAAAAACAACAACCTCCACTAAATCAACTTCAACACTTACCACTACATCTACAATACCAAAAACAACAAAAACACCAAAAAAAGAAATAATAAAAACTACAAAGGCAAAGGAGATAAAGGAAGAAAATAATGATAATAATAATAATAGTAATAACAGTAACGAAAATATTTATTTTAAAATACTTTGGTATAATAAAACTACAAAAAAACATAATACCCAAAACGATGGATATCTAGTTTATAATGAAGCAAAGAGCCAATTCAATTTATTTGACGATTCCGGAAAAGATATTGGTAGATCATCACTACTTAGTTTATCAGATGTTACCGCAGGTTTTATAACTACTATTTCATCAAAAGTTGTCGAAGTTGAAAGAAAAATTAATCAAGATGAATATGAAAAAGCAGTAGGTTTAAATGTATCAACAACTTTAGTCAAAGAGCCAAAATTAAAAACATTATCTAAAAAGAAAAAAGAAGAGGATGAGGATACTCCTACTGTGACAGTATTACCAACCGCAACTTTAAAAAAAGAATTTAAAAGCCATACAACATTAGAGGAGCAAAAAATGGGAAAAAAAGTCGTATCTAGATTTGACCCAAATTCTAAAGATGCATTGGTGTTATACACACCACCAGATTCCCAGCTGGATGATAAAGGTAATAAAGTGGTCCATGTCATTGTTGATCCACATATTTCACAACATTTAAGACCGCATCAAAGAAGAGGTGTCAAGTTTCTTTACGACTGCGTTACAGGGACAAATAATGAAGAGGGTTATACTGGTGCAATTCTAGCAGATCAAATGGGTTTGGGTAAAACTCTACAAACATTGGCATTGGTTTGGACTTTGCTAAAACAGAGCCCAACAGGTAAATCAACAATTAAGAAAGCAATTATTGTAACACCATCTACATTGGTCAATAACTGGAAGAAAGAAATTCAAAAGTGGTTTGGGTTAGATCGATTAATTGCAACTACATTAACAGATTCTCTCAGTAAAGAAACTAAAACAAATCTTGACAATTTCAATACATCCATCAAGCCAGTTTTAATTATTTCTTATGAACAATGCCGTATTTTCTCTAAAATTTTAGAAACAATGTCATGTGGCTTATTGGTTTGTGATGAAGCTCATCGTTTAAAGAATTCTAATTCTAAGACTACACAAGCAATCAATAGCGTCAAGGCAGAAAGAAAAATTTTATTAACTGGTACACCTATTCAAAATGATTTAGTTGAATTTTATTCGATGGTCGATTTCTGTAATCCAGGCTCATTAGGTTCATTAGCAAGTTTTAAAAAGAATTTTATTAACCCGATCAACAAGTCAAGAGAATCAACTGGTAATCCCAAAGATATTGAAAATGGTACTAAAAAGTCAATCGAGTTATCAAAGCTTACGAAATCATTTATTTTAAGAAGAAAGTCAAACATTTTAGAAAAATATTTACCACCTAAACGAGTTCAAGTTGTGTTTTGTCGTTTATCTCCACTACAACAAGATTTATACAAGAGTGTATTGAATTCAAATAGCGTACAATCACTTATTAATGGAAAAGAAAGCCCAGCATCATCTTTATCTACAATTACTTTATTAAAGAAATTATGCAACTCACCATCATTATTACAGGATACCAGCGACCAAGAGTTACAGTCCATTTTTAAACAATACTCTTATAATATGGAATCTATGGAAAATGAAGCCGGTAAATTATTATTTGTTGAATCTTTAATTAAACAATTAAAATCTGTCGGTGAAAAGTTGGTTTTGGTTTCAAATTATACACAAACTTTGGATGTTTTTGAAAGGTTATGTAAAAAGTTATCAACAGATTTCCTAAGATTGGATGGTTCGGTTAGTTCTGATACTAGACAATCTTTAGTCGATAAATTTAATGACCAATCAAATAAAAAATGTAAGTTGGATCAATAAAACAACAATAATTTTATATATACATTATAAATACTAACATTGTTTTAATATATAAGACCAAATATTCTTATTATCAGCAAAAGCAGGAGGTGTTGGAATTAATTTAATTGGTGGTAATCATCTTGTACTTTATGACCCAGATTGGAACCCAGCAATTGACATTCAAGCTATGGAAAGAGTATGGCGTGAAGGTCAAAACAAACCAGTTTTTATATATAGGCTTTTTTCAACTGGTACAATCGAAGAAAAGATTTATCAAAGACAACTAATGAAGGAATCAATTTCAAATTCAATTGTAGATAAAAAGTTTAATGATAATGGTGGTGGTTTCTCATTAGAGGACTTAAAGGATATTTTTTCATATAATCAAAATACATATTCAGATACACATGATTTATTACAATGTGGATGTGGATCTGGTATCGCCAGTGTTAGTAATGGAAATAGCAAGAAAATACAAATATTCAAAACCATACAACATTTAGATAAATGGGATCATTACGAAGATATAGCATCACTAAAATCATACAGCCAGCTTGAAACCCCATTAAAAAAAATCAAATTAAATCAAGAAACATTGGTATCATTCTTATTCATATCCAAAGCCTCAAAACCCTTATCAGATTTCGAAGAAGAGGAGGAAGAAAGAGATGATATTTCATTTTTAGAATTAGAAAATAATATAGACGATGACGAAGAACAAAGAGTAGAGGAAGAGGAAAATGCAGAGCAAGAAAAACCAATCAAAACACAGAAAAGACAATCGAAAAAAGATACTATCGAAAGTGATCATGAAAAAGATGATGATGAAGAATCTGAAATGGTACAATCAAACAAAAGAAAGAAACTGAAACCAACTATTTTAGATGACGACAATTTATCAGATTTGGATATGAATTAAATAAAAAAATAAAGTAAAATAACTTTTTTTTTTTTTTTTAAAAATTAAAATAAATAAAATAATAAGTTTATTAATATAAATTAAATGAATATTTATATTTCTTTAAATATATTTTAGTCTTCTAATTTACGATTCCATAGTTTTTTATTTGAAAGTATTAAACCATTATATATCCAAATTCCAATTTCTAATTGCAAGGCTTCGTCTGGAAGGTGACCAGTACAACGAATTGGATTATGAGATGTTCTATCTGTATATGTAACTTTAGCCCCACTTCCATCATTACCATCACTATTTACACCTATGCCTCTTTTGTCTAAAAAGTTTTGAATTTCTTCGATAAGTTGAATAATATAATTGCTTTCGAGTGAAGTATCTAATAATGCATCACCATCATTCATACCATATTTACCAAATACTGATTTTAATTTACATTGTTCATAGACTATTGAGTGCATACCATAGCCAGTCTTCAATCTTGTTAATGTTCCTCTTGTTCCATAGGTAAGTAGTCTTAAAAATTCTATTATTGGTGATTTGTATTGTTGGAAAATTTCATCGTCGCTGTAAATATAGTTAATTTAATTAATATTTGCTTTTTTTTTATAAAAAAAAACTAAATTTAATAATTACCTAGCTAATGGGAATAATGAAAAATTAAAATAACCTACTACATCACCAGTAAATTGACAGTCCTCTGCGGTCCAATGTTTTTCTAACCATTTTTGGCCTTTAAATTTTAATTGAGCATCTTCTTTATTTATAAATCTCCATACACCAATAACGGTATTGATTTTACCTTTTAATACAATTGTGCCAGTAACTGATTTATTATCTAAATTAGCTTCTTCTTCTTCTTCTTCCTCCTCTTCTTCATTTTCCTCCTCGTTGTTCAACATAAATGCTGTCATTGTTAAATATTTGGATAATTCTTCTAAAAATCTCTTTTTCCAAAATTGTTTTGGATTTATAATTCTTTCTGGTAACCATCTTCCTGGCTCTGTAAAATCTGCACATTCACTATGAATTGTTATAATATAATCATTTGGTTTAAATCCTAATCTTTTCTTTTCTTCTAAAACTAAAAAATTTGAATAAATATTAATATTTATAATATGAAATACTTTGAAATATTGATAATAAAATGCATACATTTCTTTTTAAATGATTCTTTATATGTTAAAGTTGTTTCTTCGACTATATTCCATCTATCAAAGGAAAATTGAAACCAACATTTATCTAATTTAGAAATAACCTGATTCCATTTTTTATTTAAAACTGAACAACTACATAGAAAATAAATTAATTGATTTATTAATATATATGGCTTTAAAATTATTTAAAAATTGCAATATATAGTTACTTTAAGAAATCTTCTGGTGAAATATGTTCAAATATTTGATATAAAACTTGATGAGGTAAAAAAATATAATCTGGGTTTGATTTATCAACTTTATTGCTTATGTTATTATTCTTATTATTTATATTGGTTTTATTATTATTATTTTTATTATTTTTATCATTGTTTTTGTTATTAATTTCTTTCTTTAAATCTTGCAAAAATTCATCCTCTTCTTTTTTACTATTATTTCCTGATTCTTTATTGTTTGAATTATTTTTATTATTATTATTATTTTTATTATTTTTATCATTTTTATTATCATTATTATTATTGGCTTTATCGCTATTTTCGGGTGGTGTTGGAGGTGGCTTTATTGATTTAAATAAACCTATTGTCAATAACATCATTGTGGATGCAATTATACCCAATAATATTTTATTTTTTAATATAGAATTAAAAAATAAAGCACTATTATTTGCCATTTTTTATTTGTTTTTATTAATTTATTAAAATATATAGTTAAACTATTAAAAGTTAATATAATTTCATTTATCTAAACATCAATGAAATGAAAAAAAATTTTAAAAAAAAAATTAAAGAAAATTTAAAAAAAAAAATTTTATTTTTTTAATTTTTTGTTTTTTTTTTGAATTTAAAAAAAAATGACAGTTATTAATTTTTGATTGTAATTAATGTGATTTCTGGGTCACAAAATAATCTAATTGGTGGATGAGTACCCAATCCCCTATTAATATAAATTTGTATTTTACTATTATCTTTATCATTTCCATAGACGGTGTGATAACCTTTTCCGAATTTCCAATTCTTCAATGTCTTTTTACCAGGGTATTTTATGTTTCTGATTGGTTTTGGCATTTTTTTAAGGAATTTTTCAAAATATGGCATTAGAGGGACACCAGTTGGTAAACATATTTGACCACCATGAGTATGACCTGATAAAACCAAATCCAAATTTAAATTGTTTTCTTGTAACTGCACAACATGGTCTGGATTGTGTAATAGTGCTATTCTGACTTTACCCTTACCTGATTTAATTTCGTTATATACATTTGATAGTTTGTTGTTATCTCTTTTGGCATAACTATCAAAACCAATTAATTGAATTTGATCACTTGGATAAACTATTTCATTCTCCATTAAATTTACATTTGTATTCTTTAATGCATTCTTTATAATAATTGGTGCTTGTTCACCACCTTTATAATCATGGTTACCTAAAATAGAATAAACACCAAGTTTAGACTATAATTATTATTATTATTATAAAAAAAATATAAAAATTAATAATTTAAGTGAGGTGGGATATTACTAATATAAATATTTTAGGTTTTAACATACCTTTAAATGGGATAAATGCTTTCTATATAGATCGGTAATTGGTAATGGATCTCTATCGATTAAATCCCCGGTAATTAAAACTAAATCTGGATTATATGAGTTGGTAATATTTATTATTTTATTTAAAAAGGTGTCATTGATTCTTAATGGATTGAAATCATAATGAATATCTGATAATTGAACAATTGTAATTGGTTCTTCTAATTCACACACTTCTTTGTTGATCTGTACCGTTAGTTTTTCAATCTTTAAATTCTGTGAAAAAAACCTCAATACAAAGTTTTTGATTATATAAAATACTGATAATTTAAAATATAAAAATAATTTTTTTATCATTTTTTTAATTTGTTTCTTTTATATATTATTTGATTATTTAATTGTTTGATTATTTGATTGTTTGCTATCTATTTTTATAAATTTGATAATTTGGTTTGATTAGATTAAAAAATAATATTTATAAACACAAAATAATACGCTTCGTCACTGTTTTTTAATTAATGAAAATTTTAAAAAAATTTAAAAAAATGAGAATAAAAATAAATTTTAATTTTTTTTTTAATTTACAAATAAATACTAAAAAACCAAGCTAAAATTGTTATAAATAAAAAAAAAAGAAAAGTAAAGATTATATAAACTTTTTTTATTTTATTTTTTTTTATATCAGTACTTTTTTTTTTTAAAAAAAAAAATATTAATACATATTAAAATATGTATTATATTTCTGAGAATTCTGGTATTTAATTATACATTTCTTATAATCTTATTATTATTTATTTGAGGAGGGTTAATAAGAAGGCGATTGCAAAAAAGGAGGGGAATTTTTTTTTATATATAATTGAATGTATATAAAAAATTTTTGTTTATGATGATTTTGATTTTTTTATTTTTTTATTTTTTATTTTTTTTATTTTGATTGATTTTATTATTGATATTTATTTTGTTGTTAATGAATCTGTAGTTTGAGGAATCTCAATTTCAAATTTAATAACCAATTTATTATTAACAATGAAACCTGATCCTGGCTTTGTTATAATTTCAGACTCTACAAACTTTTCAAAACCTATACCTTTATCATTTTGGAAATAAACAGTTTTTTCTAAAAATTAAAAAGAATAATGGTGGTTGTTAATATAATTTATAAATTTAAAAAATACAATAAAATTATCGAATAGTTACCTTTTTTAATTGATTTTATAGGATCAGTATTTACAATTTCAAATACAAATCTAATATTGATATTGGGTGTTAATTCGTGTAAGTGAAGATATAAAGAAATATGATTATTATTTGTAGGGGTGAAACCATTTGGGAATAAACTAATATTGAATTTTTTACAATTGAAATAAAACATTGGACTTGAAACTCTTTTGGTGGCTGCTGCTTCATCATTTGGTACATCGATAACCTTTTGGGAGTAGTTCTCTACACACCATTGATTGTTGTATTTGTTTATATTTAAAATTTTGCTTTCTAAAGTGTCGTGTTGAGTCTTTAATTTCTTTACTGTTCTTTCTGACTCTTCAAATAAAATCTTATGTTTATCAATAATATTCTGTATAAAAGTAATATGGTTATCGTATTTTGCTAAATGTGCTTGAGAATCTTTTCTTGGGAATTCATCTTTACATCCGCCATCTTTATATTTGCATGAAACAACTATATCTGTACAAACTTCATCGTGGTGTTTATTCAACTCTTTTCTTAACATTGATTCTTGACAATATTGACATACAACCTCATAAGTTGGGCATTCTGTGTCATAATGTTGCTTTAATCTGTTTTTTGCTATATCCTCTTTACAATGTTCACAATTGGCTTTAGAATACTCACAAACGCTATTATGAGCTTCTAATTTATTTTTTCTAAATCTTTCTTTACATAATTCACTATTTGGGCTATAGAATATTGATAAAAGAACAATGTTAATATTTTGTACATACAGTATCAACATATTTATTTTTTTAATTATCTATTATAACTTACCAATTGATAAATTGATATATACATTGCTTATTGTGAGTTTCAATATCTTCAATCTTTATAATTTCACTACAACCATTTTCTTCGTCTTTAACTAATTTACTATCTATTCTTTCTTCTTTAAATTGATTCTTACAATAAACTTTTTTCTTTTTAAATTCCTTTTCTAAAAATAAATTTCTAGATAATGATATCTCTAATGTTTTAATTTTAACTCTACAAACTGGACAATCTTTTTTTTTTGTTTCAATTTGTTTATTCCAACATGCTAGATATTTTTATATTTAGGTTTTGTTTAAAAAAAAAAAAAAAAAAAAGTATTAGTATGAGATATTAATTTGAAATAAAAAATATTTTTAAATCTTACCATTACATAGACAATGTCCATTAGAACATTGTTTCGCTTCGAATGGAGGTATTTCCATTAATAACTCTGTACAAACAATACATGAAAAACTCTCTGCAAGAGGTTTAACTAAAAGATCTGAGATTTTAATTTCTGTCATTTTTCTTTTGTGTGTTTATAATAAGTTATGATAAAAATGTAAAATATGAAAAATTTTGTTTGTTTAAAAAAAAATTATATATACGTTTTTTTTTTATATATAGATATAAATAATAATTTAAATTTTATATTATTTTTTGATGGGGTAGTGGTTTTTTTTTTTATTGTTATTATTATTACTACTATTATAAATATAATAATTATTATTATTATAATTATTGTTTATATTTTATTTATTTTTGGTTAATTTAAAAAAAAACAAAAAAAACAAAAAAAATTAAAAAAAAAATGATTAAAAAAAAATAAAATTATAATTTATAAAAAAAAAAAATAAAAATATTATTTATATTTATTTATATTATCACACAATACACATTACAGATATACAGACTCCACAGAGAAAAAAAAATAGCAAAAAAAAAATGAAAAAATAAAAAAATAAAAAAAAACAAAAATAACAAAAATAACAAAAATACCAGTACAAATATGGATATATAAATACTGTGTTTCTTCCAATTGGAATGAAAGTTTTTATATTTATATTTGTGAAAAAAAAAAATAAAATAAAATAAAATAAAATAAAATAAAGAAAAAAAAATAAAAAAATAAAAAAAAAAAAAGAAAAAAAAATAAAAAAATAAAAAAAATAAAAAAATTTTGTTTTTTTTATTTATAAAAAAAAATTTTATTTTTATTTTTTTTATTTTTTTTTAAAAAAGTCTTTTAACTTTGCCTTTTATATCGCGAGGTAAGATGTTCATCAATCGCCCAAAACAACAAAACCAATTGATTCAACTAAATTGTTGATTCTTTTGGTGCTCCTACTTCCTACTCCAGGTGAGTTATGAGAAACCTCTTGCACCTATTTAAAATTTTAATAATTAAAAAAAATATATTACTATTATTAAATTATTTATTTATTTATTTAATTTTATTATAATAAATTCTTTCCAATTTTTCAAAGTGCAATCCACTGCCTATTTTAATAACAAATTCTTCTATTAATTTTTTAAAGTTTGATTTTTATTTTTGTTTGGTGATAAATATTTTGGCTTGAATTTTAATTTATATTCCAACCAAAATATTAAAAGAGTCGTATTTATTTCAATATTGGAATTAATTATATTTTATTATATTTAAAAAAAAATTAGTTACACAATAAATGTTAGTGCGGTTTGATGGATCACCAATTGGTAAAAACTATGGTTAATTTTCAGAAAATTATATAATATCAGTGCACCATTTCAAAATTTGGTTCATTGTTCCAAAAAAAAAAATTCAAAAAAAAAAAATTCCAAGATATCAAAATATGAACTTTTTTTTTTTTTAAATTATTTTAATTTTATAAAAAAAAATATTTTTTTTCGATAATATTTATAATCAAGTTTTTTTATTATTTTTATTATCATTATTTTTTTTTCAATAACAATAGAAGCATGAAATTAACAATTATATCTTTTTTATTGTTTTTTATATTGATTGATAGTTGCTTATCAATCAATGTAATTTCAAATGAAGGTAAAATGAAACAATTTTTTAAAATTTAAAAAAATGTAACTAATCATTGTTTTATTTTTATTTTTTTAATTTATATGCATAAATAGTTAATTGTTTAAATAATTTGGCAACAAACACTGGAGGTTATACAGCATCATCTCTCTCAACAACATTTTGTGATCTTCCAAGTAATTTTTGTTACCCAAATGGTTCAATTTCCACAATGTAATTATATTTATATGAAAAAAAAAAAAAAAAAAAAAATATTAATATTTTTTTTAAAAAACTCTAGAACATTTACACAAACCACTACTTATGAGTTGTCATACAACGATCTTATTTGTTTCCCAAACTTAAATACTATAAGAATATCTAAAGGAAGATTACCAGAAAGTTTTTTTACAAGTTTTAACCCATCAATTCAATATCTGTAAATATAAAAATTTAACTTAATTATTTTTTAGGTAATAATAATTAACACTTTAAACAAAAAAAGAACTGTAGAATCAACAATCTTACCAGCTCTCAATGTTGTTATCGGTGGAGTTTATCAATTGGTTCTTAATGGTCAATTCTCAACAATTAAAGCCTCCCAACTTAAAAATGTAAAAAATCTGTAAGTGTGAATAAAAAATAATAAAAAAAAAGATAAAATACTAATTCAAATAACCAAAGTTCACTTTACAACACAGTTGATATTATTTTAGATGTTATAGAAGAGGATAGTGTTTTAGAAAATATAGGCTATACAACAAACACTATACCAAACATTAAATATTTCAAAAAATTAAAATCTTTATCAATTTCTTTTGGTCCAAATTTCAACAAAGATTCATATTCAAACATTGCTTTCTTTTCACCTCTCAAAGATATTAAAATTTCAGGTGATAAAGTAGATTTTCCAATGGAGCTTACCCAGCTAGTAAATCCACAATACACAAATTTGTAATTATTTTATTTAATTTTAAATTTATATTTTTTATTAATATTTTTTAATTATTTTTATTAGAGCTTTTTGGACTCCTGTACAACCAGTAGGCTTTATTGATTTATCAAATAATCAAATTGACGAAAGTGTAACATTGTATATAAACGATGGAATTAACTTTAATATAAATTATGTATTTCCAATCAAAAAGCTTCCAAAAAAAACTAGTCAACTGTGGGTGGTTTAGTACTTTAAATTCTGTATAATAGATATATAAAAACTAATTCAAATTTTTTATATTAAATAGTGAAATATTAAACTCTAATTTTAATTTCCCAGATTTAAATATTTTTAAAAATGTCTCATATCTTAGTTTTTATGGAGGTCAAATACTTACCAATATAACTTCAAATACAGCTCTCACATTTTCCAACTCATTAACTATGACTAATATGAAAATAAAAGGATTTCTCGATGATTCATGGTGCAACACCCTTCCCAGTCTCAATTCAAATAAGTTAGAAGGTACATTACCAAAGTGTTTCTATTGTCACTTAAGAAGTACAATTATTTCGTATAATTTTGGTGGTAATTTGTTTTCAAATTTTAATATTGACGGATCTGACTGTACTTATGGTATGCATATTTATATTTATAAATAATTTTTTTAAAAAAAGATATTAATATTACTATTTTCATTCAGATGATATAAATATTGAAATAGATATTTCAAATAAACCAACAATTGTTTTATATGGAAAAAATATTGGTTTTGAAGCCAAAAATATAATAACAACACCACCAAATGTATTTTCTGGTCTTTCATTTAAAGGAAATTTCACCGGTCAAATGTATGGTGATTTAAAAAACGTTACAGTTACCTTTAAAACACAACCAAAGCTTTCATTCACTTTGACCACCTCAACTAATCCACCAGTAATTGATTCAATTTCACAAAACAATTCAACATTAACAATTGAAGGTAGTTTCTTTAATAATATACCATCAAACATTCAAGTTAGTATTGAAGAGGAGTTGGTTTGCAATGTTAAATCTTCATCTTTTTACAAAATTACTTGTGAACTTCAATATCCAATTAAGCCATACGGTAACAAAGTATTAAAGGTTATGGCCAGAGGTTTATACGCATTAAAAGAATTTAATTTACAATATACCCCAATTCCATGTCCAGTCTCAGATTGTAATGAAGGGGGTGTATGCAATGACCATGAAGGTATTTGCGAATGCTATCAAGAATTTGTAACAATTGGTAACAATATTTGCAATATAGAAAATATATATATCTCAACAAGTACCCAAGTTGACTCAAGTACTGGTGGCGAGGTTTCTTTATTTGGTAAATACTTCAGTTTTTTTTAAAATATCTACCTAATAATTATATTAATTCCTTTAATTCTTTTTTAAATAATGTAATTAGGTTGGTTCAGCAGCTATGCTAATATTCAAATATTTTTAAATGATGTAGATACCGAATCTGTTACATATGAATCACAAAGATTCTTAAAGATCACTGTACCACCAGGCACAGGAAAGGTTAAAGTTACAATGGTAATGGCCCAATTAAAATGGAATGGTTTTATATACCCATATATTGAAACCTCCAACATTGCTTGCTTCAATAACTGCTCTTCAAATGGTGTTTGTAATACCACATCAAGCGAATGCACTTGTAAAACTGGTTTTTATGGTGTCGATTGCTCAGGAATCTCACTTGATGATCCAAAAACAACTTTATCAGATTCTAATTGGCCAGTTTCACTAACAAATGAACAAACTGGCTTTTATATTTCAATTGTCTCAATTAATGAGGTTTCGTTAGATGGATCCATTGTTAAAAAGCAATCACCAGTCTGGGAAAAGAAATCCGATTCAAAATTCTTCACATCAATCAACGATAGGACAATTGCCACAATGAATTTTGGTGTCTTAAATAACCAAAGCATAGAGATCAACAATAATCAATTCTTAATTCAAAATGGTATTATTGCCGAATTCGATTTAAGTTATTGGGAATTTAAGAACACCAGTAATCAATTACAAATCGTTATCTCATCGCAAATGAAAGTCGACAGCAAAGCAACCCAAAATAATTGCAATTCAGATAAATCCGAATTTTCAAGTGGTTCAATGATTAAAGGTTCAAAAAATGTAAACTTTTTCAAATTTACCAAAAATTCCAAAACCCTCTATGCTCGTATTCAAAATAAAGCATTGGCATCATCTTACCAAGTACCAATTGACATTAGCCTCTTATCAAATCAAAATAATACAGTTTTAATAGGTATTAATTTGCCACATACCCTTATGGCAAGAATTTCATCGGATTTCTCTTTATTCCTTGCCCCCGATTTCAACTCATCTACCTCGTGTTCTCAATCATCCGATGATGAGGTTAATGCCTCATCCTTGATTTTGTATTCAAGCTATCTTGTATTATCATTATTATCCCTTGTAATCTTAATTTAAATAAATTATAATAATTTTAATAAAAAATATTTTTTTATAGCCACTTGCAAATAAAATAAATAATACTATTTTAAAAAACTAGATTAATAAATAAAATTATTTTTATTTTAAATAATTGTAAAATTTAAGAGATGTGACAGAATATTTATATTTTATTCTATATATAAACTGTTTTTATTGATTTTTTAAAAAACTATATAAATTCTTATGATGATCTAGAGGTTGCAAACAATGGGACAAAAACGAAAATAGAAAAGAATGCAGCTCCGACAGATAACCAAAAACCTACGTACTATAATAGAATATAATGTTAATAAATAATTTAAAAAATTTTGAAAAATTAAATTACTTACTGGTTGGAAATTTAATTTATAAAGATCTCCATCGCTAGTTCCCATAAATTTGTGACAGTATGTATCACTGAGGTCAAATCCACCCTTTTCAACTTGACAGAAAGTATCGTCGTCTCTAAAGGCTCTATTTAATCTTAAGAATTGGAAGAATGAAACCATTGAAAGGGTAAATACTAATAACATGAGGATACCAGAAATAATACCGAAAACACGTGATCTAGCAACGAATGAAATGAAAACAAGTACTACTGAAATTGCTGACAATAATGTAGCTACACAAATAAAAGTTAATGAAACTATAAATACATTCTTTACATGATCATAACCAATATCATCATATTTTTTACCATCTTCTTTGAGAAAATCGGTCTATATAGAAAATAGAAAGTGGTTAATAAATATTTTAAAAAAAAAATAAACTTTTTTACTTACTATAGTATAGTTTTCATTTGTAATTCTATACTCATCCCAATAATATAATGTTTCTCTATATTTATTTGGTGCGAGTATAGTTGTCTCTTTTACTCTGTACCTATAGTTTAGATTTTTGAATTAGTAAAAGTTTTTTCATTAAAAAAAAAAAAAAAATTTCAATCTATAAATACCATGGGAAAATAATTGAAACAATAAGACAACCTAGTGTAATCAAAGTAAAAAATAATGAAAGAAATGCAACGGATCTTCTCATTTTTCTTTATTTATGTATTTATATTTCTAAATTTAATTTTCTATAAAAAAAAATAAAAAATTTTAATTAAAAGAAAATAATTATAGTAATTATTTTAAAAATTACCTCTATTAAAAATGAAAAAAATTTAAATTTAAAATTAAATAGATATAATTTAAAAATGGATTTTTGTAAAATGATATTAGGGTGAAAAAAAAAATATATAACTTGGACTTTTATTATAATAATTGTAAAAATAAAATATATGATGAAAAAAATTTTAATTAAAAAAAAAAAAATTATTTATATAAAAAAAAAAATTAAAAATTAAAAATAATGAATTATTATAATAAGGAAAAAAATAAATTTAATTAATTAATACCTTCAATGTTTTAATGATGTTTTCTATTTGTTATTATTTATAATTATTATAATATTAATGATTAATAATAATAAGGTTAAACAATAAATATTTAAAAATAAAAATATTAAGTGTGTGGGTGTTATTTGGGTGAAATTTTTTTTTTTTTTCTCCAAATATATACAAGATAAGTTATATGTTTAACAGTCTAGTGTGGGAAAAATAACAGCTTTAATTTTTAATACATATTCTATATATACCAATGTCATTTTTTGAAAATGAAGATAAATTAATTAATTAATAAAAAAAAATAAAAAAAAAAAAATTAAAAATAAAAAAATAAATTAATATTGTTTTTTTTTTTAGATTTATTTATAGCTATATACAGATAAAATTATATTTTTTATTTGTTTAATTTTTTTATTTATTTAATTTTCATTTATTTGAATATAAATATTTATTAAATATTTTTTAAAAAATTTAAAAGTATCAAATGGAATCAATGAAATTGATTATAATTTAATTTTAATTTTGCATATAATTATTTATTAAATTTTTTATTATTTTTTTTGAATGAATAAGTATCATTAAATGGATCGATGAAATTGATAAATATATTCTTTGAAACCAACTCTAAAAATATAAAAATATATTTTTTTTTCAAGAAATTTATAGGAAAAAAATCATAAATAATTTTTTTTATTTGATTTTTTCACCCATCACAAAAAAATGCCAAAAATATTTTTTAATTTATTTTTGAAAAAATTAGAATTTTTTATTTAAAAAATATTTTTTTAAATCACTTTTACAAAAATAAACTATAAGCAACATATAAAATAAAATGGATTATGGTAAAGTATTTTAAAATATTAGTGAAAAATAAAATAAAAAAAATAAATTTACTAATTTATTTTTAAAGAACCCCAAAGCGATTTAGATAAATTAAAAGAACTTTTTTCGAGTGGATTTATTACAGAATGGGAATTTAACAAAAGAAGAAAAGAACTAGGTGATAATACACCAACAGAAGAAAACACAAACAATTCATATAATAACTATAATAACTATAATAACTATAACACAACATCTACTTATGACTATAACCAAGTAATTCCAGTAACATATGAAGATAATATATCATATAATAATAACACTTATAATGACCATTATAATACATCATCAACATCTACATATGATCATTATAATTCAACATCTACTTATGACTATAATCAAGTAATTCCAGTTACATATGAAAATGACAATAGTAGCTCAGTATATAACAACTATAACTCAACATCATCCTATGACTATAATCAGGTTATACCAGTAACATATGAAGATTCAGACAACAAAATTGATACAAATCAAATTAATAATCAATATAACCAATATAATAACTATACAGATAACAATGATTATAAAAATAGTGTAACAGCCATCAATAATAACCCCCAAAATGAAGAATATGATGATACATATGTTATTAATATAAAGCCACCAATCCCAAAGAAGAGCTATGCTGTAGCAAGTAAAAATATAGACAAAGAAAAAGCAAATAGAAAGTAGAGTATCCATTAAAAGTGAATGAAAGCTATACAATTCATAAAGATATTGGAAATAATATTGTATGTATTCTAAAGGAAGAAATGGTAACCACCAAAGTGATTTAATTCCATAGAAGGTAAAAGTGAACATGACATTTACAAGTGATGACAGAGTTTGTTGGTATTTCAAATGTAGCTTCGTTAAAATTCACATTTACAAATTAACCATCGACCCCAAACGACCAGAACCAAGAGAGGTTTCTTATTCAGAAAATACAAAAGCTTATAGATCCATTATTTTTCCAGGCAATAGCGAACTATTAAAACCAAATCATTTCTTGGTTGAAATTGCAACCTTTCCAATTCATAGAGCCAACTGGAATCCCAACACCCGTTATTATCACCAACATTATTTCTCGCAATATAATTTAAAGTTTGAAGGTTTCCCAACTAAAAATTTTTATGATGGTTGCAGATATTCAAAAGATAGTGGATATTCAAGTATTTGTAAAGCACAAGTATCCCAACAATTTAAAAATAAATATAACAAACTCAACTTTTTGCTTGGCTACAGACACCTTCAATATCTAAATATCTCAGAATTCTCAACACATCCAACATTAAAGAAAGAACCATTATTAAACATAACCAATAGAATTAAAGAATCAATCGAAAGCGGTGAATGTGTAATTTGTAAAAACTCAACCTATAATCAAAGCTTTTTATGTTTTGGTCATTATAATAAGAACTTTATAGTGGCCTATGAATCATTTGTATATTTAAATAACAACGGCTCAATTGATGAAACTATAGAAGCATTAGAAACCACCTCAATCAATCAAGAATCAAAAAAAACTGAAGAAATTGTAGTAAACAAAGAGAAATTTAAATATTTAGATCCAAAACAATTAAAAGAGTTTTCAATGAAAAGAAACTCTCTTTCAGAAACCATAAATAATAAAATGGAATCATTGGGAACCGAGGATAACAGCGAAAACAAAATTGAAAACAACTTTAAGCAAGACTATTCAAGACAAACACAAAATGATTATTTTGACTATTCAGATTATTATTATTAAAATAAATAAATAAATGTACATTAGAATTTTAAAATCTTTTTTTTTTTTAAAAAAAATTATCTTAATTGTAATATTCAATTAAAATATTAGCTTTATTAAATTTTAAATTATTTAAATCTAAATACTCTATATATTAAATTTAAATAAACTATTTGACTATATTATATGGGGATTTTCTATTACTGTTTTTTTCTATGGGTTTTTTTTTTTTAAAATGAACTATATAATTCTATAAAAAAAAAAAATATATGTTGGATATAAATAAATAAATATATATGTTTGGTTTGTTATATAATCTTTAAAAAAATTAATTATTAAAGAGTGAAATTGGTGATGGAACATTTTGTGGGGGAGCAAATTCTTTGTTTTTATATTTAGAAATAATAAAACTGCATTTCTCTTGTTTAGTGCTAGTTGGTCTAACTTTCTTATTTGATAAATTATATTCCCAATATTGGTTTGAAACATTATTACCAATCTTAGAAAAAATCTATAAATAAAAAAAATAAAAAAATTAATATTCAATAACCCTATTATAATTATTGCATTAAATAAAACTTACATCTATATGAAACTCTTCCCAACTATCATCTAAAATTACAGATAAGACCTCTGACATATTTGAAGCCAAATTCTGTTGATGCAAACCACAGCAATCATCACAAAGGAAACAACCTAAAGAAATCGAAGCCCACTCTGGATCAGTTGAACAGCAATCGACACAAACACGATTAACACCCTTATTTCTAATTTCTAATATTTGTTGTTTTCTATCTACAGGTGGTGGGAAATGACCAGAAAGTGAAAGTGAGGATGAAAAGGAATCGGATGATTTGAGTATAAACTTCTTTTGTTTCTTTTTAAAGTTTTGGTTATTTTCAAAGTATTCAGGTGATAACTCTATAACTTCTACCCATTGACTAATGATATTAAAGTAATCATGGGAAAATCTAAAGGTGCTAAATGGAGTTTTAACAATAAAGGATGGTGGTTGAGGGTTTGATAATGAAGAGGATGAGGATGAAGTTGAATGTAATAATTTGATTGTACTATATTTTAAACCAATAACTCTAATTGGTTGCTGATCTGTGTGATTTTTAAAAATTTGGATCGATTGGTTATCAAAAATTACCCATTGCTTCTCTGTTTTATTATTTTGTTGTTGTTGTTGGGTTTGTTGATTATTTTTAACATTATTATATGATATATTAAAGTAATTTGATAACTGTATATTTCTTGTAGTGGAGTTTGATGAATGGTTAATATATTCTACTCCAGGTAAATGTAATTTTAATGGGATATCACGAAGTAAAGCAACGCTCATTTCTAAATTTAAATCAGAGTCGGAATTTATATATCTAATTTTACACTTGTAATCGTTGATAAGAATCTTTTTCTTTCTACCAACCTTTTCGATGAGGTCTTTTAAATTTTCATTACTTTGAATTGAAATAATTGTGTGCTCGTAGAATGGTGGTACGTAAACTTTAATATGATGGAGAATAGAGCTAATACTATTTTTTCTAATACTTCTTTGTCTGAATGAAAACGATAAAGAGTTTGAAACTGAGCCACCACTATTCATATTAGTTGATGAATAGGTTGGGAAAAATATATTTGGATCATTATTTAATTCAATACTTTCTGTTTTATTGACAGCTGAAGCTTTTGCGTCTTGTTGTAGTTGCTTTTCTTGTGGCTTTTCTTGTGGCTTTTCTTGTGGTTTCTCTTGTTGTAATGGTTTCTCTTGTTGTGGTTGTGATGGCTTTGGTAACATTGATGGTAATAACTTTACAAAATTATGTGGGAATTTACCAGTTTTCTTAGAGTCTTTACCGACCCACCAACCATCACTGCATTGCTCCAACACTATAATTGTAGTATCTTTAGTTAAAGATATCTCTTCATCTAAATCTGCTTCAAAATCATATAAAACTAAGGCGTATTGGTTTGGCTTTTCGACAGAATTTAAAAGATTTGGGTCAACTTGGTTTTGTTTAGCTCTGGAGAGTCTTCTTTGGGTGTGAGAAATTAAAGATGAAGCAGATGAATGAGATTGTGAAAGATTTGGTTGTTGTGATGTAATTGAGTGAAGATCTTTAAATGATGGAGTTTTTAATAATTGTCTTGATCTAGCTCTCGATACATTATTATTATTAATATTATTATTATTATTATTATTATTATTATTTACAGATGACAATAAATTGCTTTGTGGAAGTGAAGAGGATAAAATTGGTTTAATATTACTATTACTCTTATTTAAAATTATATTATTACTGTTAATGTTATTTTCGATTTCTTGTTCGGATGATAAACTAACTTGTTTATCTCTTGGACTAGTTTTAATCTTTTTAATTGTAATTGTTGAGGCTGGGTCTGGGTTGGCTAGCTTCCATGTATCGATACTATATTTATTTTTGAAACTATTACTTAAAGATGAGCCTGGTGTAACAGCGGAGTTAACAGACAGTATATTTTCACAACTATTATTTAAATTTGGTACTAAAGTACTTGGACTATTTCCGATTTCTGGGTATTTAAATTCGAAACTGTTTGGTGTAAAGCCTGAGAGATCGACAAATGAACCACACTCGAAACCAAACTCATTCTCCATGCAATCACTTGATGGATTCACTATATTTATATTTGAACTTCTCTTTTGATTTATATTTGGTTTTACCGAAACCCATTTATTATTTGAAAATCTTAATCTTTCACTGCTACTACCAATACTGGTATTTGATGAAGTTCTTCTAACTTTTGGTGATTCTACCATTTTATTTTATATTCTATTTTTTTATTTATTATTATTTTATTATATTTTATTTAAACTATTTAAAATAAAAAAAAAAATTAAAAAAAAAAAATTAAAAATTAATGATTATGAATATTATTTAAAAAATGATGGTGTTTAAAAGAAAATAAAAAAAAATAAAAAATTTTAATTGATGATTATTATATTATAGTATTAATTACTATTTATTATATTTATTATAAAATAAAATAGAAAAAATAAAAATAATTATTATAATAAAAAAGGTCTTGTGGTTTTTGTGTTTTTTCACAGTTATTTGAATTTTTTTTTTTTAAATTTTTAAAAAAAAAAATTAATTTGAAAAAATGGAAAAATGACGTGAACAAAAACGTTTATGATATATGATTATTACTTGATTTGATTTATGTGTATGTGTTAACAAATTGTTGCTTTTAACAATTATATATTTTAATTTAAAAAAAAAAAAAAAAAAAAATTATATTAAAGAAAAAAATAATCAATTTGATTTTTTTTTTTATATATTAAAAATAAAAATTACGAAAAAAAATAATATATATATTAAAAATAACAACTAAAAAAAAAATAAAAAATAATATTATTATTAATTGCAATGATTGGGCCAACTGGGTAATTGTTTGTCCAACGAGGACGTTAATTATTAAAAAAAAAAAAAATTTTAATTTTTTTTATTTTTTATTTTTTTTTATATGGGAAAAATGATGTTGGGATGGGTGATTGTGTTAAGTGTTCAACAAAATAAATGTTATAATTGGTGAAAAAAAAACGGATAAAAAAAAATCCCACCTTTTTTATATTCAAAAATATTGTTATATGATGAGTATTAAAAAATCTTTGTGGCTAAATTGATATTGGGGAGATATTAAATTAGATTTAGGTGCACCAATACGGCTCCATTTTCGATTTTTTTAAACTTTTAGAAAAAAAAAAAGAGAAAAAGAAAAAGAAAAAAATAAAAAATACGAGATTTAACTATTGGTTGAATGATAATAATAAAAAAGAAAATCTATAATGATTATAATACATACAGGTCTGTTTTCATTTAAACAATATTTGTTGTTAAATTTTTATAAAGTGAAAAAAAAAAAAAAAAATCAAATTTGTGATTTATTACAAAAAATGAAACTTTTAATTAAAAAAAAAATAATGTAATTAAAAATAAAATAAAATAAAATAAAATTATCACTTTAAAATTGATGTTTAATAATTTTTAAAATGATTATGATTATGATTATGATTATGATTTGAATATAATTATTTAATAAAAAAATTGATTTTGATTTTGGTTTTGGTTTTGGTTTTGGTTTTAGTTTTGATTTTGATTTTGATTTTGATTTTGTAATAAAATAATATATTGATTGAAAATTGAAAATAAAAAAAAAAAAAAAAAAATAAAAAAAAAAAAAAGACTTTATCATAAAATAAAAATAAAAATAAAAATAAACATAAAAAGAAATTAAAAATAAAATAAAAATAATAAAATAAAAATAAATAATTATATTTTTTCTTTTTTTGATGGTGCGAGTGGTGTAGTACACTATTAATTTTACCAAATCAAAAAAAAACAATTAAAATAAAAAATAAAATAATAAAAACTATTTTCATGAAATATGTATAGGGTTAAATCATTTGTGTCTTGTTTAAAATTCTTAAATATTTTCGAAAAATCAAAAACGAAAAATGATTGGTAGTTTAAACATATATTTGTTTCCATTTTAATTTTTATATTGAATAATATGCAAACTGTTTTGTTTCTAATCTTAGTTTACCAATGGTGCTACTATCAAATAGAGATTTACAACACTCTTTCTTTTATTTTGGACGAATCAAATTATTTTTCACTCGTTTGTTTGCTCTATTTTTTGATAGGAAATTTAACGTCTTTTCTATTTTAAAAAAACACGAAAAAGTGATAAAAAAAAAAAAATTAAAAAAAAAATAAAAATAAAAAATATTATCAGAAAAAAAAAAAAAAAGTTTGTGTTTTCGCACAATTCGGGTCTTTTAAATAGATGTAAATTATTTTTATTATTATTATTTTCATTATTATATTGTTATGTTATTGTTACTGTTATTTTTTTATTATAATAATATGGTACTATTTGACACCAATTGGGTATAAATGCCATGGTGGCTTTTAGTACAACAAGGGATAACTTGATGATTCTATTGGAATATTGTTTTAATTAATTAATTTAAAAGAAGAATAATATTTTTTCCCAGCTTTTGACACCCCGCAATAATGGATCAAATTGATTATTGTAAAATGCAAAAAATAAAATTTTATTTTTTTTTATTTTTTTATATTTTTTTTTCTTTTTGGTAAAAATATCCTAAAAAATAACGTTTATTATGATATTGGTTTAAAAGTTATATGAAATAACTATACAATTTATTTTATTTTATTTGGTTTATTTTAATTTAAAATATTTTAAAAAATTATAATCATTATGATCCAATCTTTTTAAATGATTTGGTTCTTTTTTATCAAAATATTTTAATATGAAAAGACATACTATTGCTATAGCTGAGGATAATATTAAAATCCACATTGAAATTATATAGTCGCCAGTTTTTGAACGGAAATAGGTTAAAAATAATGGGAATAATACAATACCTATATTATAGGATGTACCAATACAACCGTAAGCAGTACCCATACCATCTTCTTCTACAATTAAGGGAATGGATGAGTAAATTGCATTGCTCATCAATGTATAGCCACAACCACTGAGGATAACAAATGCCATTGGCATGACATCGGTAACAACAATTAAAAATATACCAACCATGGTCATTGTGATTCCAATACCCATTGCTAAAATATTTCTTTTTAATTTCTTTACAAAGATGCCAAATAAGGGAGAGACAATACCAGTTGTAAATGTTTCTGATGCCATAATTCCCGCGGCAAAGGCATCACTATAGTTATATCTTTCAATTGCCATATCCGTGAAAATAATATCTAATCCAAAGAATGCTGAATAACCAAAGAAAGCTACAATCGTTAGTACCCAAGTTCGCATTGACATTGATTTGACGATATGAAAAGCTTGAATAATATTTTCTTTAAATAATACTAAAAATGATTTGTTTTCTGAAGATAGTTGGCTTTCAGTATCTATAGCCACTGAATTTTCTTCGCTTCTACCATGATTTTCAAAGCTATTTGATTTCTTTATTGTTGCGCCATCCTTATTATCACCACCATATGGAGTTTCCTCGTCATCTGCAATGTTTTCTAATGGGATTGGTTGTTCTTTGTTAAATCTTAATTTTGGTTGATATATAATAAAAACTATATTTAAAATTGAACCTATTGATGCAATTATTGCAATAAACCACATAGTCATTGGGAAACTGGATGCATTATAAAATGAAGGAAGTACACCAAATGCCACCAAAGAGCCAAACTGTACCCATGTAGCTTCTATACCCATAACCAATGAGACTTGGTTTGCTTCAAACATATCTGTAATGAATGTCGCTATACACACCAACAGTGATTCACCTCCCAAACCTAATAGAACCCTTGAGAACATTAATAATCCATAACTATGTGTCGAACTTGAAATGGCAGCTAATATTGTTGATATTGTCAAAATAGTTGAGAATATTAAAGAGCTTTTATTTGTTCCAATCAAATCTACTAAAATTCCACCTAAAAATACCATGATAACATTTGGTAGCGCATATATTGAATATAACCTTCCGAACTGTGTTGCATCGATTGAATATTCTCTTTTCTAAAAATAAATTAACAAAGTTAATATTAATTTTTAAAAAAAATAAACAAAATTAAAACTTACAAATATTTGGACCATTGATGATGGATTGTTATAGCTTAAAAATACAGGAAAGCCCAGGTTAATAATTAGAAAAACTGTAGCAATTCTCTTCTTATTATTTCTAATTAAATTAAAAAATGAAAAAATTGAAAATTTTTTATGGGGTTCTTTGGCTGTTGGGGTTTTTTCATATATAAAATCTTTAAAGTTTTCTTTTTCATTATCTTCGTTGCTATCATTTCCATCTGTAGTGATTTCAATATTGCTATTTTGGCTATTATAGTTGTTTATGACAAGGCTAATATCCTCTTCTTCCTCTCTTTCGTTATTATAATTGCTATTAACCTCATCGTTTGATATTAAAGATTCGTTTGAATTTTCTTTTATATTATAATCTACATTTTCATTTTCTAAATCAAAATATAAAATTGAACTAGAGTTTACCAATTTTACTACTTGAGATATTTCATTATTATTATTATTATCTATATTATTATTGGTATTACTATTATTAGTTACATTCATTTTATTATTTATACAATAGTTTATTATATTATTATATTATTAATTTTGACATATTGTTTTTTTTTTTAAAAATAAAAAAAAAAAGAAAGAATAAAGGTAATCGTTTAGCTGGAGTATGGATTTTAAAGCATTAATTTAAAATAAATAAAAAAAAAAAAAATGGGAAAATAAAAAAAAAAAAAAAAAAAAAAACGGAATAAAATTAAAAAATATATTAAAATAAATTAAAATTAAAAAAAAGTTGTATCGAATAAAAATTTATTTATTTAGACAAGTATTATAATAAGAGTATTTGTAAATTTCTTAGCTTGATATTTTATTATTATAATATTAAATGTTTTACCCCACAGTGTAGTGTTAAATTTTATTTTAATATCTAGATAAAAATTAAATTTTAAGATTTTTTATAAGTACATTAAATTCTGTTTTTAGACAGAACTCATAAATATGAATCTTTAATTAATTTATAAATAGGAATCGTTTTTTTTTTTTTGGTATTAAAAAGAATAAAAAAAAAAAATTATAAAAAATAAAAAAAAATAAAAATAAAAAATAAAAATTTTTTTTTTTCGTTTTTTTTTTTTTTTTTTTTTTTTTTTTTATGATTTTTTATTATTTTTGAATAAATTAAAAATCATATATAGAGGAAGATTACAATGGGTAGTAAAGATAAAAAAGATAAAAAAAACAGAAAAGAAGAAGAAGAGGATGAAGTAATGGTTTCAGAAGATGAGGAAACTACATCAAAATCAAAAAAAGTGAAAAAAGAAAAAAAAGATAAAAAGAAAGATAAAAAAACTAAAAAAGATGAATCAGAAAGTGAGATAGAGGAAAATAAAGACGAGGAAGAAGAAGAGGAAGAGGAAGAAGAAAAATCATCAAAGAAATCATCAAAAAAAGATAAAAAGAAAGATAAAAAGAAAGATAAAAAGAGTAAGAAACAAGAATCAGAAAACGAGTCAGAACAAGAGGAAGAAGAGGATAAAAAAAGCAGTAAAAAGAGTAGCAGTAAAAAAGATAAAAAAAGAAAACAAGATGAATCTGATAATGAAGAAGAAACTAAAAAATCATCAAAAAAATCAAAATCAAATAAAAAAGAAACATCAGATAATGAAGAAGAGGAAAAACCAAAAAAGAAAACTATTTTAACACCAATCCAACAACAACAATTAAAACAAAAGCAACAAATGGAGCAATTAAAAGCAAAGAGAGAACCAACCCCAGAAAACTCTAAATCAATTTGGGCATCACTTTATAAGAACGAATGTAAAGCTGATTTTTGTCCACAATGCAATGCCTTTTTAAATTATCCAAGATCTACTTCACAATTAATCACTTGTTCACTTTGTACTTTTTCAAAAAATAAATTTGATATTCAAGATAAGAAAATTATTACCAAGAGTTCACTTTTCAATAAAACTGAAGCTAAAAAAGATGATAGCGAAGAAGATCGTGGTGCTATTGTATGTATATCAATAAATAGTCGATTATAGTCAATCATAAATAATAATTTATTAATATTTCTTTTTAATTTAGATTGATGAAAAATGTCCAAATTGTGGTCATGGTAAAATGTATTTCAAAACAGCTCAAACTAGATCAGCTGATGAAGGTCAAACTATTTTTTACGATTGTGTTAAATGTTCACATAAATTCTCTACCAATTCATAAATTTTTTTAAAATTTAGAAATAAAGAAAAAAGAAAACTATAAAAAAACAAAATAAAATAAATAATATTTAAAAAAAAAAAATACATAAATATTCTATGTTACCATTCGATTAAATAAAATAAAAAGTAGAAAAGAAATTATAACTATTTTAAAACTTAATTTAATTTTTTTATTTTTTTTTTTATTTTTTTTTTTTTACTTTATATATTTATTTACCATCCAGTTTGTTTTATTATTTTTTATATTATTATTTATATAATGAGATTACTTCTTTTCTATATTCTCTAAGAATTACAGGAATAGAGGTTGGTGGTACCATACCAACTTCGGTAATGACCATATCGATTAATTCTATTGGAGTTAAATCATACATAAGATTTAAAAGTTTTAAAGAACCATATGATTCCCAATTTTCTAATAAACTCTTTGAACCTTCTTTTTCGCCCAATTGTTTAGTTAAATCTTGTGGGTTACCAATTTGATTGAAGCAAATACTATCTAATTGAACTCTTTCGGTGAATTTATAGGTTTCGCAACAAACAATGAATGGAACGTTATAGAATTTAGCCATTGATGCAACTAAACTAGTACCAACTCTAGAGATTAAATTACCATTTGATAAAACTGAATAGGCACCAACAAATACTTTGGTGACTTCTTTCATAATATAGGAGACAGCATGTAACATAATATATGTGATTTTGACACCATGTAAAACTAAACGATGTAAAAGTTCTCTACCTTCATGTTTTGGACGACTATCGACAATGATAAGACGGAATTGTTTCTTTTCTTTAATGGCTTCTTCGATCATCTTTTCGACTACATGTGAACTGGCATAGGTTAAAATTACATCGCCATCATTAATTTTTGAGCAACCATACTTGGCAATGACAGTATCGGCTAGTTGAATACGTTCGATATAACTTTCAATTGAATCAATGAGGAATTCTTTTGCATCTTTTTGTGGCATAGTATTGGTGAGTGACATTTGGTGTTTAAGATAGTTGATACTGTTTCCCATTGAAATTGAAATTGGTCTACAATCGACAAGGAATTGAATATTTCTTTTGAGTAAAATATCTAATTCTCTGCTGTAAACTTTATCTGGGGCTGCTTCATAGTCTTTAATAAGTTTAATAAATACAGTCATCATTGCAATTGCACGAGCATTTGAACCTGCAATCTTGAATTCGGCATATTTTAAACCTAAAGAAATAATATCTGCATGAATTGGATATTTGTTTTCATTTGGTTCGTCATTTGCAATTGAAACACCTAATGAAAAATTACCATTATATTGTGGTAAATGGTCAAAAAGTGGAACTTGTCTTGAATCACCTGAACTCTTTAAAATCTTTTTCTTTGTAATTTTACCTTTTTGTTTTGGATCATCAAATTGCTTAATAACATGTTTATGTTCAACACCACCTTCTGATTTTAAATTACCTGAATCCTTTAATGAACCTTCTTTATTATCTTTTTTATCATTTTGTTGTTCTTTTTTATTTTGTGGTTCTTTTTTACCTTGTTGTTGTTGTTGTCCTTCTTTTTTTGGTTGTTGTCCTTTTTGTTGTTGTTGACCTTCTTTTTTTGGTTGTTGTTGTTGTTGACCTTTTTTACCCTGTTGTTGTGGTTTATTTGAGTCTATATTTAAATCATTTAATGATGAAGAAACTTGAGAAACTTCAGATTTTGAAATCTCTGTTGATTTTGATAAACTGTCCGACATTGTTTTTTTTAAAATTTATATATCTCTTAATATTCTAAAGAGGTTGATACTGTTTTTTTTTTTCGATTTATAAATTCTATAAAAAAAAATAATATTATTAATATTTCTTATATTTTTCTCATAATTCTTTATTGAGCTATTTGTATCTGTAGTTTATTATGATTTAATTCTATTGTTATTGCTGATTATCCTTTAATATTATTAGCTAGTTATTAACCTTAATATAAACAAATAAAATTCAAAAAAGTAAAAAAAACTTTATCTAAATTGTTTATTAAAAGTTGATTGGATTTTTCTTTGAATAGGTTGCTATTTTTTTATTATTGACTGTGTGTAGTTGCTTGGAATGGTTTTTAATATTATTTTATAGTTTTAATTATATCATTACTGTTATTATTACTATTGTTACAATGATAATTTAATATTATATGCAAATTATATTGATAATACCTTCTTCAATTTATATTTTATTATCTATCTTTACTTTGTGTTTTTCGAGCTAATAATATCCCTATATATCTAGATTTGAGCTATAGTTGCAAATATATATATATTGTAATATTAATTGTAAAGATAATATTATATTTTTAAAAATTTTAATCGAAAAAAAAATTGGTTAAAAAAAAAAAAAAATAAAAAATTTTTTATTTTTTTTATTTTCACATTTTTTTTTTATTTTTTTTTTTCATAAATTTATAAAAATTAATTTGTTTGATTTTTATCATTTTAAAATAAATAAATTATGTCAACATCGCCATCAACACCCCCAACACCACAAACAATTACTAAATCATTAATATGTCAAGATTGTACTGTTAGTACAGGTGTTCAAATTGCAATTGGTACAGTAGTTCACCCAAAGGCATCAGTTATAATAAATGAAGGTGCAGGTCCAATCATAATTGGTGAAAATAATATTATAGAAGAATTAGTTCAAATTATAAATAAATCACCCGAACCTTTAAACATTGGTTCAAATAACATATTTGAAGTTGGAGCATGTAAGTAATAATATTTACATAATAAACTATAAGTTAATAGTAGTGGTTAATATTTATCTTTAACAAAGATATAGAATGTAAATCAATTGGTAGTGGAAATGTATTTGAACCCAAATGTAAAGTTTTAAGTAATACAGTCATCAATGATCAATGTTCAATTGGTGCTGGTTGTATTGTCTCTGAAAATCGTATTCTAGAAAATAATACTGTTATATCTCAAACTTCGAGTTCCCAAATCGAAATTAAATCAAGTATTCCATATGAAGTATGTTAAATTGTTTACATTGCTAATACTACTTTAATAGTTTCTAACAAACTAATATTTAATTATTTTCATTATAGAATCATACAAGTATTCATACCAGTCATTTAGAACTTTTACATAAATCTATACCATTATTTCATACTATGAAAAAAACTCAACTTTAAAAATAATTATAATAATAATATAATAATAATATAATAAATTGCGCGAATATATAAACAAAAAATCAACCATGTATAAATAACATAATGTAAATAAAAACCGAAAAATAAAATAAAATTAGTCAATAACATTGTATTTATTTATTTAAAAATTAAGATTGGGCAGTTTGCTTTCTTTAATAAATGGTCGCATACTGAACTAATTGAAGAACCATCTACAATTCTTTTAAATTTACTTTGAGGTGCATGTCCAACTATAACCATATCTATTTTATTCTTTTCAATTTCATCTAGGATTGTATCTTTTACACTTGTTTTTGTATCGATTAATAGTTCATGGTTTCTTATCTATGGTTAATATTAAATATTAATATAATTATAATTATAAAAACATATTATTAAATACTGACATTATTTACTGTTAAACTTTTACTATATTCATCTAATGCCCTTTTACTTAATGAGTGTCTTGTACCTTCAGGATTTGTATCAACCTCTAATTTCTTTATAAATTAAATTTTGTATTAAAATGTAAATACTTGTAATATTATTATAATTATTTTTATTATTTACATACATTTATAAGTTTGGTATCTACCACATTTAATAAATAAACTTCAACTTTTTCTTTCATTGTCATTGCTAATGCTTCTAAATAATGAAAACCTCTTTCTGAGGCATTGGAGCCATCTAAACAAATCATATATCTATTCATTTTATTATTTTTATATTTGAATTTGTTTTTATAAATTAATGTATATTTTTAAAAAATTTTTTTTATAAACTATATAGATTTAAAAATAAATTTTATTTATAAAAAAAAATATTAATTTATTTATATATATACAGATCTTTATAAATATTAATTTAAATTAATTTTTTAAAAATTAATTTTATTATTTTTTTATTTTTTTTATTTTTTTTATTTTTATTTTTTTATTTACAAATCTAAAATTATTTAAAAAATAAAAAATAAAAAATAAAAAATAATTTTATTATTATTCAAAGATTTTATATTTATAATTTATTTAGTTTTATTTACAGTGATTTATTTTTTTTTATTTTTTTTAGAAAACAAGATTAAAATTTAATGATTAATTCCTAAATACAACGGGTATATAATAGGTTATCATTATACCGGTTAAAACTACATGCACAATTATTGATCTTTCATATAAACATAATACTACTTCGCTTGGTGAGAGTTGATGAATGTGAAGTACTTTACCAAATTTCTTAATATCTACATTTACTGAATGGGAACGTTCAGGTTCGGAACTTATGTTTTTTTCGAATTGTGGGTGTTCTAAACCATTATAAAAAGTGCTGATGGATCCATTACCGGTTTCTACAGCAAATGATAAACGATGGTTCATCGAAACTGTAATCTTTAATAATTCTGAAATATTTTTCATTTTATCTACAACCTTTTGAACATTCTTTAAATTTGGCATTAAAATATGTACAACTGGATCTGGTAAAATAGGTTCGTTAATTTGTGCCATTTGTTGCGCTGTCAATAAAACTATTGGTACATCTTGAACCAACATAATACTTGATGATGAGCTTTGTATAACAAAATGTAGAATTGGATTATCGCCTTTTTTTGTAAGATTAACAAAAACATCACATGGTGATTGCGATGTTGATGATTGCAGCGCTCTTCTTAAATGCTCTAAATCTAATTGAAATTGAATTTCATTATCACTTAATGATTCGATTATAAAATTTTCAAAAACCTGTTCTCTTTGAATTTCACAAAATACCTGCATTCCATCGTTAATTTCACTTTGAATAATAAATCTTAATTTGTGTGGCGTAATATGGCAAATACCATCATTATGAATCTTCATTATATTTTGAACAGTTTCTACAATTTTAAAAAAATAATTAGTTTTGTGGGGGGTGTGGTTTTATTTATTTTCAATACTTACTAAGAAGAATATTTGGTTTATAAACTTTAGCTTTAAATTTCATTTTTATAATAGTACTTGAATATATAAATAAATAAATGAGGTTAATTGAAAGATAATTATTTGTTTAGTTTTTTTTTTGAAATAAAAATAAATAAAAAAAATTAAAAAATTTTAATTTTTATTTTTTTTTAATTTTTTTTTTTTTTTTTTTTAATTTAATTTTTAAAATTACCCTTTTTTAATATTTTCGAAGAATATATAAATAGTTTATATGTGTCCAAAAAAAAAAAAAAAAAATTCATCGATAATCAAAAACAAAATAATGGAAGAATTCAATTTTCTTTTTTTATTTTTTAAGATATATAGTTTTTTATTTTATATATGCATATTTTATTAATATATTGTTTTATTTTATATTTATAATTGTTTTAAGATGGCTTCAGCACTTGAGTGTTCAAAACCGCTTTCATCTAAACCAATGTGTTTAACAACACCATCATCTAAAATCATGGCATAACGTTTTGAACGTTCTGGGCCCATAAGGAAACCTGTAGCATCAAGGGTCATACCAATCTTTTTAGTGAATTCGGAGTTACCATCAGAGATAAGAGTGACAGAATCACCAGCACCTTGTTCTTTACCCCAGGCGCTCATAACAAAGCTATCATTGGTGGCTAAGCAGAAAATTTCGTCAATATTTTTAGATTTAATTTCACCTGACTTTTGGATGAAACCTGGTAAGTGTTTGGCTGAACAAGTCTAAATAAATAAATAAAGAGAATGTTAATTATATTATATTTTAATTATAAATAAAATAGTTTTATTAAATTAATTGTTTTAATTAAAATTTAATTAATTAATTAATTAAAAAATTAATTAATTAAATAAAAATTTTACAACATTAATAATAACAAAAAAAATGATAAAAAATAAACTTATTTTAAATACTTACTGGAGTGAAGGCACCTGGTAAAGCGAAAACAACAACTCTACGATTTGAAAAGAGATCACCTGAATTAACTTTTGGAGCGACTGGGCATGAACCATCAGCAGCTGGTTTGAGACATTTACCTAAGGTAACATCTAATGGAACTTTTTGACCTACTTTTAACATGTTTTTAATTGCGTTCCATTAATTTATAATGATAATAATATTTTAAAGTTAAATATTTTTCCAAAAAAAAAAAAAAAAAAAAATTAAAAAAAAAAAAAAAAATTGAAAATACAAAAAAAAAAAATATAAAAAAAATTAAATTAAAAAAAATAAATTCAAATAAAAAATAAAAGATTAAAAAAATATGTGTGTTGATGTGTATTCTAAAACTAAAATAATCTGAAAGAGACAAAATAGAATAAAAGAAAATAAAACAATAACATCTTCTTTTTTATATTATTAAATTTAATCTCCAAATTATTTTATTAAAGAGTGTTATACAATTTCAAAAGAGTAATATATGTATTAAAACAATTGAAATGAAAATGAGGGTTTCTCAAACTTTATAAAAATTTAAAAAATAAAAAAAATAATAATACTTAGAAAATAATAAAGAGTACAGAAAAACAAAAGTAGAAATTTCAGATAAAGAAATCAAAAAAAATCAACTCGTAAAAAAAGAAAAAGAACTCTATCATCATTTTCAAAAGAATAAAAAAATAAAACCAATTGGTTTTTATTTTGGTAATAACATTCAATTTAATGATGTTCTAAAAAACAAAATAAAAAATTAATGCTATAAATAATAAAAAATAAATATTTTTATTAGAATAGAAAAAAATTTTAAAAAAATAAAAATTAAAATTTTTTTTTTTTTTTTTTTTCAAAAATTTTTTTTTTTTTTTTTTTTTTTTTTAAAATTTCATTTTCTTTATTTTAGGATATTAATAAATTATATAAAATGGGTTTAGGTAAAACAGAATGGGAGGATATCCAAATTAAATTGGGTAATATGGAGGCTCCTCCAAAACAATTAACTGAAGATGAACTTTTCGATTTAATTCAAGAAGCTGCTGAAATGGCCGCCGACGCTGAAAAAAATGAAAAGTTAGAAAATGCCTCATTGGAACAACTTAAAGAAATGGAAGATGACGAAGATGAAGAAACTTTAGAACAATTAAGGTAATTATAAAAAATAATAATTGAAATTACAATTAAAATCTATTAGAGTATTTTTTTTTCTAATAACTTTTAATTTTTATTACAGAAAAAAGAGAATCGCCCAAATGAAAGCCGATGCAGAAAAAAACAAATTTGGTGAATTATATCATATTTCAGAACCAGCATACAAATCAGAAGTTACAGACCAAAGAGGTATTATGGTAGTTGTTCATCTTTTTAAACAAGGGTATGAAATATATTATAAATAAATATATATGTATATAATTAATACTAATTATTATTTATTTAAAATTATAAATCCAAATTTTGTAGTATTCCACAATGTCAATTAATTAATCAACATTTAGATATTTTATCAAAGAAATTTAAAGCAACTAAATTTGTAAAAATTAGATCAGAAGAAGCAATTCATAATTATCCAGATAAAAATTTACCAACTATTCTTGTATATTTCAACGGTGATATTGTTGGTCAAATTATTACCTTAAAAGCAACTGGTGGTGATTCAACTACAGTTGATGATATCGAATGGCAACTCAAAAAGGCACATGCCATTAAAAGTGATCTTAATGAAGATCCAAGAATCTCTGCAGCTAAAAAGAAATCTCAAAAATCACGTTATTCTTCAAATGCCAGAGTTGATACCGATTCTGAAGAAGAATCAGACGATTAAAAAAGTGGTGATTAATAATATAATAATAAAAACAATAAATAATAAATAATAAATAATAAATAAATAATAATAAATAAATAATAACAAATAATAATAACAAATAATAATAATAATAATAATAATAATAATAACTTTAATAATAACTATAATAATAATAATAAAAAAAAAATATAAATAGTAAAAAAAAATATTATCAGTGTATTTTGATCATTTTTTAATGACCAGTATAATTATAAACAGAGAAAAATTAAATAAATTGTATATATAAAAAAAATTTTAATTAATTTATTTTTTTTATTTTTTTTTTAATTTATTTTTTTTTTTTTTTTTTTAATTTATTTTTTTTTATCTTTTTTAAAAAAAATTATGCATATTATGTTTTAAACAAAAAAAAAAAAAAAAGCTTTTATGTATTATAATAAAACAATCATTAATACAACAATAAAAATAAATACAATTACAAAAAATCAAAATTTTTTTTAAAAATATTTTTAGAAAATCTTAATCTTAAAGAAATTTAGATATTAATTCGGTTTTTTTTAAAAAAATTAAATTATATAAAATATTTTATTATAATAATTAATAATAGTAACAAATAATATAGTAGTATTAAATAATATTATAATAACAATATAATAAATAGTTTAATAAAAATGAATAGAACATATTGGAATAAAAGAATTATACATAGATATTTAGCGTATATAACCGTTGTCCCATTGTTTATAACCATGGTAACTGGTGTAGCATATAAAGTACTAAGGGATGTGGTTGGCGTCGAAAAGAGTAAAATTAAATTTCTAATGCGTATTCATCAAATGTCATTCCTTCCCTATATGGAAGTAATATATACAGGTACGCTAATGGTTTTGACCATCTCATTGACAATATTTGGTTTCAAAATGATATATAATCCATTGTTTGGAAGTAGAACAGGAAGAAGAAGGAATAGAAATAGATGGGCACCACAGTCAATGAGAGAATATCATCATCGTTATGGTTCAGTAATATTTGTATTCTTGGTTTTTATGGTGTTAACTGGAGGAATTTATAGATTTTTAAGAGGTGCACTCAATATAGAAAAATCAGCAGTTCATTGGTTAATGGATTTACATGAAATGAGCTATTTACCAAAACCACTTTCAGTACTTTGGATAGTACTCAATTTTGCAATCATTCTATCAATGGCAGTAAGTGGTGCAAGGCTATTCCCAATTATCAATAGAATTTTTCGTCCAGCAAACTCTTATCAAGTAATATCAAGTAATATTAATACTGGTGATACTGTTGGAAGTATGAATAATATTTCAGTTATCGATTCACCTACTCCTCAAAATGATAATGAAAATATCAATAATGATGATAATAATAATAATAATAATAATAATAATAATAATAATTCAAATATAATAAATATAAATCATTTAGATAATAGTTCAGATTTAATAAATGATCAAGAGTTAATTAACAATAACAATTATAATAATACTGACAGCAACAATATTGATGTTATAATTAACAACAATAATAGTAATAATAATAACAATAGTAGTATAGACTATGATGATGATGAAGATAATTCAAACAAACCCATATTAAATAGATTGGAATCAATGGATTAAAAAGAAAATGAAAATAAAAATATAAATATAGTTATTAGAATTTAATAATAATTTAATAAAAGATTCAATTATCTTTTTTTTAGGTAAAAAAAGATGTATAAAAAAAAAAATAAAGATTTTTTAATTATTTATTTGTTTGTTTATTTATTTATATTATTTTAATTTGATTTTGATTTTGATTTCTTTGGTTTACCAACAGTGGTGGTTTTTTTAGAGTTCATTTCATCTGGATAACGTTTAAGGATGAATTTAACTAAGAAAATAAAAGCAGCAACAAAGACAAAGGCACCAATGGTTGATTTTGATGGAATAATTCTTTGGTGTAATGGTAATGGTGGGGCTAATTCGATTGAAACAGCTTCAACAGTGAAAATTAAATTTGATCTTGCTGGGATGGTACCAACAGCTTCTTCACCATAGGCATATTGGTATGGAATGAAGAAAGTTCTAGTTTCACCTTCACAAATACCAAAAGTACCAATTTCCATACCTGGGATAACTTTACGTTCACCAATTGTGAAATTGAATGGAATACCACCGTGTAATTCTGATGAGTCAAAAACTGTACCATCTTCTAATTTACCTGTATATTTAACGCTAACAGTGTCACCAATATTGGCTTTTTTACCTTTACATTCTTGAACGTTGGTTTCAATAAGTTTAATTTGTGGTGTTTGTTCTTGATCTTGTGCAAAAACAAAACTTAAAGTGATTAAGAATAATAATGCAATAATGATTTTATTCATTTTTTTAATTATATGTTGTGAAATTATGAAAATTTAAAAAAAAAAAAAAAACTAAAAAAAAAAACTATTTAAAAAAAAATATATTTTTTAAAAAAAAAATTCAAAAAAAAAAAAAAAAAAAAAAAAAAATGATTTGAATTCAAAGTCAAAAAATATTCCTATAATTTTTTTTTTAATCATTGTATAAAAACAAATATTTAAAAATATTTAAATATATAAAGATATAATTATATTATTTTATATATTTATTTTAGTTTATATTATTTTATTTTAATTTTTTTTTATATGAAAAAAATTTTGTATTGAAAAAAATGGTGGTTATCAATGTAGATTCCAAAATAGATTCTATTTTTTTATTTAAAATATCATAATTCAAATTTTTATTTTTTTATTTTTTTATAAAAAGATTTGTTTTTTATTTTTTTTTTTTCTTATAATTTTAATTATTGATATAGTATTATAAAAAAAAGTTTTATTATAATAACCAATAAAAAAAAATGAATAAATACTTTTTGGTATTTATTTTTATTATAAATTTCAAATTTAATTTTTCATTGCCTTGTTCTAATTGCCCCTCAGTACCAACAGTATGTTCAAGGTAATTATAATTTTTATTTTTTATAATTTTATTATAATTTTTTTTATTAATTTTATATTTTTATTTTTAAAGTAATGTAGATTGTTTTAAAGGGTATTGTGAGGAAGGAACTTGTAAAGACTACATAGCATGTTCAAGTAGTACTACATCTATTGATAGTTGTCCAGTAGATACAAATAATTTTATGTGTATTAGTGATCAATGTATCCCAACATCAAATCAACCAGCTTCAGCACAATGGTAATAAAAAATAATATATTTAACTTTAAAATAAATTACTAATTTTAAACAAATTTACTAAAAGTAAAAATGATGCAAATTGTATAACAAATAAGTGTAGTGATGGTGTTTGTTTAGAAGATACTTGTGGATCAGGATACAATACAATGGATCAAAATAAATGTAAATGGACAAAATATTGTAATAGATTTGAAGTCCCAGATATAAATACAGGTGGTACATTAATTAAATATGGATGTCAAAGTAAAGGTACAAATAGTGACTGTTCAGATGATAACATATGCTCTCCTGGTTATAAGTGCTCTGCTGATAAAAAAATTTGTGTTCCAATTTTTTCAGGTTCCATCGGTCAAGGATGTTTAATACAAACCAATGATGATATAAATAGTTTATTATATTGTGATATTGGTAAAGGTTTAGTTGTATGTATATATTATCATTTAAATTATTTTTTAAAATTAAGTTCTAACTTAAAAATATCATTTTTTTAAAGTGTAAACAATTCCAAAATCAAACTGGTTATTCATGTGAGAAATATCAGAGTTCTTCATGTAATACTGATTCAGATTGTCCATATTCTCCTTTCGAAAAATGTTCATGCGATGGTGTGTGTATCTCAAAATATAACTTAAATAACAACTGTAAGGATGCCATAACCAAAGCTTATCAATGTGCTTCTACAAATGATTCTCCAACTTTTTCAAATGGTTTTTATAACAAATGTAGTAAAGAAGCTTGTGAATTTGTAAACTCTTGTATTGGAGAAAAATATGATAACCTAACATGTCACACAAACTCATTTACTATGTGTCCTTCTTTTTCATGGTCCAAACCAACAGAAGAGCCATCAAATTCTTCAAATTCATCAAGTTCATCAAATTCATCAAACTCATCATCTCAACCCACAAAAAAACCTGAGGTTAATGATGATCCAAATACATCCAATTCATTATATTCATTAAATTACTACTTTTTATTATTTATAATCTCATTGGTATTGTTGATTTAAATTATTCCTTAATAAAAAACTTTTCTATTAATTTTAAAAAATAGTTTTACGATTTTATTTTAAAATACTAATTAATTATTTTTTAATTTTTTTATTTATTTTATAATCTTTTAAATTTATTCTCTTTTACTTTCGTCATATGGGTAAAAGAATGTAGTTTTTCTATATTGTGGTGAATTTGGAACACAAGTTGGTTGGTATTCGCAACAACTGCCATCATTACATTTTCCATCTTCATTGAGGAACAATGAATAGTGTGGATTTTTAATATGAGTACACTTGAGATGCATTGACTTGCAATCAATATCGTTACAGGTTAAGCATTGAGGATAGCAACCATATCTTCCATTTGGTCCACGACGACATGTAAAGGTATCTATACAGTCATTTCTATAACGACTTGGGTTACATTGGTGGAATGGAATGTTTCCTGTAGTACCAGTTAAATGACCATCTCCACCAGTAGTTAAATGACCGATACCACTTGTGAAATCACTAGTTGTGGAATATGTTGTGGTGGGATTATTATGCCCGGTATCATAAATTTCAGTTGTTGCTTGGCCTGTTGGTTCACTATTAGATGATGACGATTGACTTCCGTCAGATGAAAGATCTACGGAAGAAGATGCTGTAGTTGTAGATATTTCAGTGGTTGTGACTGGTGTTCCTGGATGACAAGTTCCTGCAGCTGGGTCAATACAAACCCAACCTTCAGGGCAACTACAATAATTTATTGGAAGGATATTTACACATAATAAATTGTTTACATATATGCATTTTCCTTTATCGCAAGAATCTGCAGTCTTTTTTTCAAAAAAAAAAGAAGTTAAAATTAGTTTTTTTTTTTTTCTTTTAGGTTTTAAAAATACTTACACAACTATTACTATCATCACAATCTATTGTTTTGTTTGTACATGCACCGGTGATAGGATCGCAAGATCTTGGGGAGCATGCATCATATGTAATACATTTATCGTTTGTACAATCTTTACAATTTGGGTATCTAAGATGTCTACAACCTCCTCCAACATCTACATTTAAACAAAAGTCAAGGGTGCAGTGATCTCCATCATCACAATTTATAGGTTGGAATGAACAACCCGAGCCTTTAATGCATTGATCTACAGTCTAGATTAATTTAAAATGTAAATATTTTTTTTTTGACTTAATTTTTAAAAAATAGTAAATACATACACAAACATTGTTATCATCACAAACTCTATCACTTAAACTACAAACTTTACCATCACATGTTCCTTGTAAACAATTTAATAAAAGGTTTTGATTTTCTTCACAGTTTGATGGGAGACAACATGTACTATTATCACCTAAACATACGCTATATTTTGAAAAATTAGATTTTTATAAAAAATAACCCTAAAATTATTATTTTACTTACCCACAAGCATCATAAGAAGGACAATCAAATTTGATTGATGTTTCAATATAAATATCGGACTCTGTAGTATGACGTTCACAATAAAAGAAATCAAATGGATAGTTTTCACCAACTGTTAACCCTAAAGTATCCAAATTTACTGTACCTGTTTGAATATTATGAATTCCACCTAAATCTACAACAAGTTTTTTATTTATAAATACCCTATAAAAAAATTAATAAAATATCATGGTTATATATAAAATTTATAATACTTACCAAACATCATCATCACCTTTGAATGTAAATTTTTCACCAGATAAATATTGAAACTCGGTATGAACTAGAAAATAATATTAATAAATGATTTTATATTGTGATTTTTGAAAAATTAAAAATTTACCCTCAAGACTATAGGATTTAATAAAAGATAATTAATATTATTTAATTAAAATTAAAATTTATGAATATACATACCAGAAATGGAAATTGTGAGCAACACCTTTACCATCAAGGTATACCTGTTCATTTAAAAACTTTGCCTATTATATCATATAGAATGTTAGTTCTGTTAAATAAAATCAAGACATATATAGAACTCTATTTACTTTATTATCAAAACCCTATAATTTTTAAATATTAAAATTAAAATAATTAATACAAAAGTAAAGTAACCAACTAAACTTGTATATCATACCTCGCCATCAATTGGAAAATATGTATAATTTTGGTAAATGTAAATATTTGGGTCGTTGGGACTCTGGGTTAATATAATACTCTTTTGAATTGGAATGTTAATTCCACTAACATCATGAAACCAACCTTTTAAAAAATTATTAAAAAAGTTAATAAAATACTCTATTATGATCTATAATAATACTTACTATAAAATGTAGTTGAATTATGTATTGAGTTATAAGCTGAATCACCACAACTATAGTTTTAAAATTTTTTTAATTAATATTTATTTTTATTTTTTTTTTATTAATATGAACCTTACCAATAAACTGGAGTACCATCAGCTCCTAAATCTG